TAGAGAAGAGTACAATAATGATCCTCCGATTATGCGGTATTGTTTTATTAAATCCCTTGATTATCAAAAGTTGTAAAATGGTCATTCGACTATAAAATATTAATTTATTAAGTCATTCGACTATTAAAAGTTATAAAATGGTCACCAAACTATTTATTATGTTCTAAACTCATCCTTTTCCGTTAAAAAATTAGTTGTCTAAGCTAGACATTAACATGATGGCTGAGATATGATAGTCGTTTGAGATTCTATGATCATATTTTATCATATCATATTAATTAGGTTAACGTTCAGCTCAGAATACTGTCAATTTTTAACGAAAAAGAACAAGTTTGGAACATAATGAATGAATAGTCGAGGGTTTTAACAAAGCAATACCCTATAGTTGGAAGATCATTTTGTAACTTTTAATAGTTGAGAGACTTAATAAAACAATACCCTATAGTCGAGGGACCATTTATTTACTTTACCCTTGTAAAAATCGTTGATTAAAATGTGTTGATTTAAGAGTTCAATTAAGTACAAAATAAATTAATTTTTTCCAAAATTGTTTAAAGGCTTTTTACGCCCTAAAACGTAATAAAATTTAAACTTAAACTAATCAAATAATAGATTTTTAAACTTATTACATAAATTAATTGATCTAAACTTCAAATATCAAACTAGTTGATCATCAATCAAAGTTAATAATATTTCCTCTCTTTTTTCCCCTTTAAATAATCCATATAATTTAATTATATCACATTCAATTAAATCACTATTCCAAGAAAAATATACGATGATTTTAAATAGAAAATTACCACTTCGGTCAATAAATGACAATGAATCAAACTTTTGTTGAACATTATATAATTGAAGGGACATTAATAATTGGTCATGATTAGATCAAAGAACCATGGGTGGAAATGGAATATGAATACTTTTTTACTTATTTTTGATTCCGAATGTCATATACTATACTAGTAAATAGACAATAAACAATGCTTATGCTTTCCAACCCATAAGTTTTGATATATTGCAAAGATGCTTTAGTTTAACTTCAAGATATATTTTAAAATGGTATAATGCCAAAAAGCACCCCTAACATTGTAGAAATATTCATCGAGCTCAAATCCCGAAATTCACAAATATCAGAGTTAAATCGGGAAGCACAACCTAAATCCGTAGATAATTTACTGACCGAAAGCATATTGCAAGCCAAATTTGGGACATAAAGAACATTAGATAAATTGATATGGTTGTTAATCTGAATTGAGACACTGCCCATAATAGAAGAAAGTGAACCATCTTCCGTTCAAACACTACTGGAAGTATCTATCATTGTAAAATTCTGAAAAAGGGTGAAATCACTCGTCATGTGGTCACTTGCGCTTGAATCAACAATCCAAGAAACACAACCCTTAGAATGAAGCAAAGTTAGATATACCTTCACTCGCAATACATGCGTGTTAAATCTTAGAGGAGGACTAGATTTGATCGAAGATTTCCTTGAGTTCTTCCAGCTGATTACGGTTAAACGAACTGCTACCCGTGTTGATTACTGCAGTATTTCTATGAGAATCACACTGGGAGGATGATTTCGAAGGTTTCCAGTCAGAAGGCCGATCATGAAGCTTCCAGCATTTTTCCCGAACATGGTTGACTTTCTTTCAGTGGTCGCACCAAGGAAAACCTTTCTTTGACGAGCATCACCTGTTGAGTGAGTGACTAGTGTCGAATTAACAATGACAGTAGGTGGAAGCATTAATAAACATCGACTTTACTCATGGCGAACCTCGACAGATACTTCACAGAGGGATGGAAGAAGTTTAATACCCAAAATTTTTCCACGGACGTCATCGAGAGTTGTTGTTAGCACAGACAGGAACTGAAAGACCCGACGTTTCTCGAGCAACCCTTTGAAAATTCTTGCATCTGCATCACAGTGTCAGTCGTGGGATTGAAAGAGATCTAATTGTTTCCAGAGACAAGACAACTGAGTAAAGTATTGTGTGACACTCACACCACCTTGTTTGAAATCATTAATATGAAATTCAATTTCAATCAAGGAAGACGAATTATCGAGATTAGAATAGGTTTCACGAGTAGCGGTCCAGATTTTGGCAACAATCATATATATAGGATGAAACTTTAACCAATTTTCGGCATCATGGATTTGAGGAGCCAGGACATGATCATTGTGTTTTCGGTAAGCCATGTTTCATATTGAGGATCGAACAGGTTTGGAATCGACATATTTGCTGAGAGATACTGCTGCTTCCGGTGACCAGTGATATATAGACGAACTGATTAAGACTAGGGAGATAATTATCGCCATCTAAGCGATGACATTCGATGGAAGAAGATCCTTCATCTGTGGTGATTGGGTGAATGATGGAGGTGCCTACATCCATAGGAACTTCAGATGATTTTGGATGAACCACTGTCGGTTGAAAAAAGGGAACAGGGGATTTGTTTTTTATTTTTTTGGTTTTTAATAATAATAATAATAATTATTATGTAAAAGGGAAATTCCCCACGATCCACAATAGGAGACAGAACCTGAGGAGACAACAGACGAGAGAACTGGGCATAGCGAGGAGGGTGGCACAGCGAGGAGGTCGACGCGACTGGGAGTCGACACCTTGCTGCTAGGGTTATGGCGCTACGACGAGGGGTTGTTCTACTTGTTAATGAGGGCAGCAATTCGAGTGGGAAGCGTTGTACCAGCGATACGAAGGGAACGACGTGGCGATGAGAGTAGCATTGCGACGGGAATGGAACTACGATGGGAGCAACGTAGCAAGGAGGTCGGTGTTTCGATGGGTATGGTATGGGACGGAAATTTCACTTGAGAAAGAGACAGGGCAAAGAAGGTACACTGTCGGTCGAATTTTTGTTAAACGGCGGCGGGAGCAAAGCTTGGATTGACGCCGCCGACGATACCATGTAGAAATCGGATTCTTAAGAAAAATTGTTTGTTTCACATTTCAATTAGAGAGTACAGTTGAATATTTATACAATTGTTGTCAAAGAGCTTAAGATATACTAAAGGTAAGATTATCAACAAAGTAGGAATCTAGAGTTAGAGCTAAAGAAGGAAACTACTATTTACATCTAACTATAACTCACAAACGTTTGACTATAAAATTATTTTGGTATGTATTCTTTTTTAAACATTTTATCCATCGACATTTTATATTAGAGGAAAAGGGCACCTAACAATTGACTAAGTATTCACTTTAATCCTTATTATTTTTTAGAGCATTTTATCCCAACGTTTTATTTTAGAGTAAAAATATCTCTATTCTGGAGTGTTGACCGTTTGATGACTAACAATTTTCATCAATAGATGCATCCTTTTATCCCAAAATAAAACGTTTGTGGTCAAAATAATCTAAAAAAGAATATAGGCTTAAGTAATTATTTAATCAAACATTAAGGGTATTTTTTGTCATTATACCTTTTAAAATTCAATTGAGTACAATCCATCAACAGTTAAAATAACTAAAAAGAGCTTAATTAAAATTCTTTTCACATGAAACATCAAAATTCATGGAGTATTTTAGAATTTCTTTTATTCCAAGTATTCTTATTCCCTGGGGAAAGCAATACACAAGTGGTGGGTGTTCGGAAATTTAAAAGGAAAAGAACCATGAAGAAAAGGTGAAGAAATGTATATAAGAGATAATGTAATATCCTTTTTGTGTTGGATTTTGCTGTTATCGGCAAATGGTATAAGTGACTTTTGTAATATGCATCAGATGAGTGGGACTTTCAGATTCAAAATCAATTCCTTTACCAATGAGGCCATTATAGTTCGTGCAAATCCTCATTATATTTTAGAAAAAAAATGTTTGAAAGTAAATATGATTTTCACTTTTTTATTTTATTTTATTTTTATTAGAATATCCGTTGATAAATTGCTAAATTCATATATGATGTGTAATTAGATTTTTTTGGTTAAAAATTGATTATGTACAATAATTAAAATGAGAATAATACATATTGATTTATCGTGTCATCTCATATATCCTCCTAGGGATGGCAACTGATTGGCTTAGGTTTAGTTTTTTGTTCAATCCAATCCGACATGAAAATATGTGTCTTTCACTCGAAATTTGATCTAATCCGAAAATTTTATCTCCTTCACCTGATCTGATCCAATCTGAAAATATATATTTTCATCTGACTCCGACCCAACTCAATTTTTAGAGTATATATCCAATCCGACCCGACCCAATAGATATAAAATAAATATTTAATTAAAAAATAAAATTTTAAGAAAGTTATATTATTATCTCGGGTGGAGCTTTTTCACCCTCCACCTGAACCTGACTCCCCAACCCGACCTTATCTGAATCCATATTTTTTTATAAAAAAATCGACCCTATCAAATCGAATCCAAACCCGTCGCATTCTAATTAAATTGACATCCCAATCCTCCCCCTATATTCCCCTTATCTGTACTTATAATCTTAAACATATATACAAATTATCTATAGTTATATTCGTAATCTGTAATATATTACAATATACATAAAGTAATAGTTGGGAGAATTTCTTGGAAAGACTAAAATACTTTTTATTTCAATATGTTATTAATTTGATATGTAAAAAATAGTTTTTAATAAATTATTATTATTTACTAATCACAATTCATGAAATATAGATTGATAAGTATTCAAATTATAAATTTATCCATTATTTGTCATTGATATTAATGAGTAATATAAATTAATATTATACAAATATTTAAATTTTTTTAATATTATTAATTAATTATTCAATAAAAATATATTTTAAAATACAACTTCAAAAGATATAGATTCCCACTTGATTATGAACTAGTAATTGTTTAAAAAACGTCATGTTTATTCTCCATTATTACGTATATCTTTCTATGTAAGTAAAAGGGTCATTAATATTCTCCAAATCTTTCAAGGTCTTGACTATACATTATCAACATCTATAAATAACATGCTTTTGTGCATTCGATCTCAACATAACAAAGCAAAATAAATAATCATAGTTTCCTCTATCTTCTAGACCACACAATGGCTCAGCTTTCCATCAAGAATTTTCAACTATTCAGGTTGGTATTTTCTCTATTTCGTCCTTAAACTTTTATAAATTCTGGTTTTACCGTAAAATCTTGTGTTTTTCCCCTGCAATGAATGATTATTGAGTGTGTATTTTATGTATTGTTGTAGACGATCCTACGCGGTTGTGGTGGAGAACATGACGAAGCAAGCGGTGGCGTCGGTTATGAGAAAGGTGGCGGATTTGAGGGCGGAAGTTGTCCCGGCTGATGATGCGGAGAAGGGGATGTTTTGGATGAGAGATCCGAAGACCGGGAACTGGATTCCGGAGAATCACTTCGGGGACATTGATGTTGCAGAACTGAGGGAGAAGCTTCTTCCCAAGAATCACTAATAAGTAAAGACAATGTATTTAGCAAATAACATGTTTGAATTCCTAGTAAGTGTACGTTCCTTTTTATTACTATCGTATTCAGATTCAACAAAAGGGTTGTGATTTCGTGTTTTACGTATGCCTCAAGGATATCTCATAAATGTACGTACTCTTTCGTCCAACAACATGAGATCAGACCTTCAACGTAGTAGTATAAATTCTCTTAAACAAACAAATATTAAAAATCTGGAAATAGCATAAAATATCACTAACACATGGTATCTTTTTACTGTTGCGAAAATTTATTGTCTTTTAAGTGTAATATAGGTGTTATCCATTCATATTTATATGTTCAAATATGAAAAATAAAATTGAACTCGTCAATTGGTCTCGGTGGTTAAGAGGAGTATTATTTTCTATAGAGATATTGTATTCGAACAATTATATTTGTAGAATACGTGTACATTGGGTTAAGAAAATTTTGAATATATATTACTTTATAATTATTTCCGACTATTTAAAAAAATAGAGAAGAAACACACATACATGTTATATGATTAAGAATCAAATTGGGTGGGTGGATGTAACAACCCGGAAAAACGAGAATTTTTTTTGTAATTGAACAATTTGGTGAAATTTGGGGATTAAATAAAAGTTTTCAAAACTTATAGGACATTTTAGAAGTGAAGAAAATTCAGGGACCAAGCCCTGAATTACTCCAATTAGTGTTGACAGCTTTTAAACATAAATATATGCAATGTGTTTTCTGGTTTCATACCAGAAACAATGACAAAATTTTACTCCCCGTACCCCTCCTTTCAAACGAGATCTCGACGCCGGTTCGACCTCCGATCGTCGTTTTCAAACCACCATCGTGTTCTTCATCGAGCGATGAACAAACTCCTTAAAACAATTGAAGAGAAACGCTGTCAAATGCCGTGAATTTCGAGTCAAAGTCTCGACATTTTTTTAGCACGACCGCAGAGAAAATCTTAAATTCATCACCGATCGTTGCTCCATTTTCGACACCTCTCGCACCATCGTGTTCCTTGTGCCATTCCGAGTCTGCCAGTGCTCCCCTTGTCTCCATTGGCAATGGCACGTGAGGGAGGTGAAGCGGTCAAAGTTTCGGATTTTTTGAAATCGAGCTCTCCACCATTCAAAATTGTGAACCGAGCTTTGTAAGTGCCTCAAAATACCTTAAAATAATTTTTAGAAAATTTTCCAGAATTTTTCGGACACCAGGGGACTGTACACGTTCCCCCACGCACCGCCCCTGTGTGTGGGGGAGCTTCGAAACTGGTTGGGCAGTGTTGACCGGTTTGACCGGTCCTAACCGGTCCAACCCGACCCGACTTGTTGACCGGACTTATAAAATGTGTAAAAAACTCGGGTCCTAGTTTTGTAAATATTTTTAAAATGGTGCCTAATATGTAATTAATTTCTGTTAGGGTGATATTTGTGTAAAAGTTGACCGTTGACCATTGACCGTCGTTGACCACTATTGACCATCGTTGACCATAACTTTGACCGACGTTGATCGGCCATTAAACGACTGTTACTTTTTCGGGGTATACCTATCCTGATATGTTTCGATGTCCCCAATCCCTTTTTGGGGTCCCTTTGGACAAATTTGAACCCGCAAGCCTCCAAATCGTCAGTTAAACCCGTTGACTTTGAACAAAAAGACAAAATTTCAAAAAGTCATATATTATGTTTTTCGACGTTCTAAATTCAATTCCGCAATTTGTTTTGCCAAATTCAATGCCGAAAGCCTCCAAATTTACAATCAAACCCGAAAAATGCATATGTGCTTAAGAGTTTTATCTTTGAATGATTAAGTAAGACTTGGGACTGATAAAAATTATTAATGTTTGAAGCTACAAGAGACTCTCTTGATTGCTCGACAGCTCGACAGCTCGACCCAGCTCCTCTAAATCAGTTAAATCGCGTGTGCCAGTATTCACTCGTATGACCCGTAAATTTTATGATTTCATAGATTAATTACGTTATCCACTAGTAATATAGTGTTATTATGAATTAGGTTCGAAAACTGTTTGAACCTATTATCGAGGTGTGTTCCCTATATGTTACTTAATTGTTTTATTTGTTTTAACATGTGGTACACTGAAATCTATGGTTACTGTGTTATTGATGCACCGATTTAATGATGATGACTTATGGATTATGACTGCTATTTGATTATTCGTTTACCCTGGTAAATGATTACAATGATTATGCATTTATGGAAATTATATCACGGTGCAATTGTATTTTTGAGATACTGATTTATAAAGTATAGCTCTGATCAAGCTGGAAAATTTTTTACTGACCTAATGTGACTCTTAGGTAGGCTTTGCGGCCCTGAGATCATTCTCGGGTAGGCCCTATGGCCCTAAGATATGTTCTTAGGTAGGCCCCGAAATCTTTCTAGGGTAAGCTCTCAGGCCCTAAGATGTTCCCTTAGGTTAACTCTTTTATGAGATTTATTGCAGTATGATTTTATGAGATTTACTGGACTATGACTTGTTTAGTGTACCTATCATGATTTTATTGTAATTGTGTGACACACTGAGACTAGCTCACTTTTCGAAAATGTTTTTTCCCTTTCAGATACTGTTGGTTAGATACCTCGGATCAAGCACTTGGAGGATCAACATATCTCTTGAAGTATATATGATTGTAAATGATTTTATCTTTCAAGTTGACTTTATTTTGGTAACATGGGCCTTATTTTAAAGTATTGGATTTTATGATGATTACTCTTTTGCTACTAATATTCGGTTTATCGTGATTTGGATTTTTACGACACGTTTTAAATTAATTTATTATTTTTTTAGTTTTATATTTATGAGTGGGGTTTTTATTGTTAAATTATTATAATTTCATAAATGTCTTTTGGAACATGATTTTAATTTACCGAATAATGTTTTTAGGAAAAAGTCTTTAAGAAACATAAATGTGATCCGTTAGACTTAGTCGAAACGCATAGACTGGGTCTAGGGGGTTATATTTAATTGGTATAAGAGCTTTTGGTTTTTAAACCTCGGACTGTGTATGAGTCCAAATTGAAAATACGGTTTTGAAATATTTTACAAAACAAGTTACTAAGGTCATGTCACAAAGTTTTTACGATTTTAATTGTGTTCGAGACTCCAAGTTCTTATTTAACCCTAGATTTTGTCTTATGTAGTATACTTGAGATTCACCAAGATGAGTGTTAGACGTGGTCGTCGAACTAGCCGTGGGAGAGGTAGAGTGGCTAGATTTGCAGACCCGATCGATGAGATTCGAGTAGATCCCCCACCTCCGACAGTTGATCCTGCTCCTACGACCCTAAAAAATATACTACTACTGCTGGTATTGGCATGACTACTCCAATTGGAGAAGCGAGCAATATTGATCCCGAGTCTACCAGAGTTGAATTAGATAAGAATTTTGGTAGACAATTTCTGCAGTTGATACAAGGAGTGGTCAGAGCTGATGGTGTTGTATCCAAGGTGCCTATTTCTCAGACTCTGATTACTAATGGTGTTAGAACTTTTGGGGGACAGATTGGTGGAGCTCCTACTGAAGTAGAAGATTGGCTCTAGGATACTGAAAGACGTATGGATCAGTTAGGTTTGGACCCAACTAAGAGATATATGGGTGTAGTAGCGATATTAGATGGCAATGCACACAATTGGTGGGAGTCAGTGGTCAGTAGTGTTCCAGCCAATTGTTTGATTTGGGATTTCTTTAAGGAGCACTTTAGGAACCGTTTTCTGGGAGAGCATTATTTAGTTCAGAGACGATAGCAGTTTCAGGACCTGGTTCAGGGTGATATGACTGTTTCAGAGTATGAGATCGAGTTCTTGAAATTGATAAAGTATGGAATCAGGCTGGTGCCTACTGAGAAATATCGATGCCATAAATTTGCCATCGAACTCAGATACGAGCTACGTAGGTAGGTTGTTACCCACCAAGATGAGATTTTTGATGTGCTGATGGGCATAGCTAAGGATGATGAGGAGAAGGAGGCTTCAGCTTCTGGTAGAGAGCGTGTTGATTAGGAGTGAACTAAGAAATCTTTTAGCCTTAATGAATCATCTGCACAGTCTAGGAAGAGGACTCGTACTTCGGCCCCTCAGAGGAGCAATACACGTTTCATGCCTGTAGCATCTTTATCTTTAGCTATTAGTAGAGGTGGTTCTTCAGTTCTGCTTAATGTGTCTCCTTGTGATTTTTGTGGTAAACGACACACATGAGAGTGTTATAGGAAGACTAGCGCCTGATTTTATTATGGATCCCTTGGTCATTTTCGGAGGGATTATCCTCAGCTAGCTTCGTCTGAGCGGACAGCTACCCAAACTCCTATGCGTTCTCAGGCTTCAGTATAGACCCCAACTAGAGGCCGTAATCAAGGAAAGCCTTCTGGATCAACATCTAGAGCTGATAGTAGAGCTCGACCCCATCAGAGTTGAGAAGCTGCAATTTCAGAGGCCAGACAACTAGCTTTGGTTTACGCCACCAGACGTCGGGATGACAAAGATGAGACTGAGGTTATTGCAGGTACATTTACTATTTATTCTATCTCATACTTTGCATTACTGGACAATGGATCCACCCACTCATATGTATCGAGTTCAATGTCTCAAAACCTTCAGATTCTGATTGAGGACACTGATAATACTGTTACGGTTACTAGTCTAGTAGGACAATCAATGTTAGTGAATAAATTATTTCGGTGTTGTCCTCTGGAGGTTCAGGGAGAAATTTTTCTTGCTGATCTTATGGAGCTTCCTTTAGAGGAGTTCGATTTAATTCTTGGGATGGATTGGTTGAATAAACACAAGGCAAATCTAGATTGCGAGTACAAGAAAGCTACTCTGAAGACTTCTGATGGTCGGATGGTGGTGTTAATTGGTGAATGTCGTGGCTATCTCTCCAATATAGTTTCAGCTATGGAAATTGATTGTATGATCAGGAAGGGATATGAGACCTCCATTGCCTGTATTTTGAAATCTAAAGGTTCTTTTTCCACAATTGAGGAAATTCGTACATTTAGCGAGTTTCCTGATGTCTTTCCTGAGGAGTTGCCTGGGTTACCTCCTGATAGAGAGGTAGAGTTCGAGATTGAGACTTATCTAGGATCCACACCTATTTTCATGGAACTTTATCACATATATCCAAAGGAACTTAAAGAGTTGAAGGTCTATTTGTAAGAATTATTCGATCGAGGATTTATTCGGCATAGTACTTCACCCTAGGGAGCTCCAGTTTTGTTTGTGAAAAAGAAGGATGGGTCGCTAAGGTTGTGTATCGACTATCGGAAGTTGAACAAGATGACAGTCAAGAATAAGTACCCACTACTCAGGATTGATGACTTATTTGATCAATTACGAGGAGCTACTGTATTCTCTAAGATTGATATTTGTTCTGGGAATCATCAATTGAAAGTTAAAGGATTTGATGTTGCAAATACAACCATTCGCATTAGATATGGTCATTATGAATTCTTAGTAATGCCTTTTGGTTTGAAGAATGCTCCCACAACTTTCATGGATTTAATGAATCGTGTATTCCGACCATATTTGGATCAATTTATGGTTGTCTTCATTGATGATATTCTGGTCTATTCTCGGACTGAAGTAGATCATGACGAGCATTTAAAGATCATTTTGCAGACCTTGAGAGAGCATCGCCTATATGCCAAGCTGAGTAAGTGTGAGTTTTGGCTTCAAGAAGTGTTTTTTTGGGCATATTATTTATGCGCGAGGTATTCAAGTCAATCCAAGCAAGATCGAGGCTATTGTGAATTGTAAATGACCCAAGAACATCTTTGAGATCTGTAGTTTCTTGGGCTTGGCCGGATATTATTGATGTTTTGTCATGGGCTTCTCAATCATTGTTGCTCCTTTAACAAAGCTGCTAAGGAAGAACGTTTCGTTTGACTGAGGCGAGGCACAATAGGAGAGTTTTGA